GAAAAAACTGCCATAAGAGACATAAATTGCTTTTTAGTGAAATGTTTATTTTGAGAAGTTACAAGTTTTTAAAATTTTAAAGTTCAAGTAAATAATAAAACCTGCATTTAACCAAGTTTTCAACTTGAACTCTTCAGTGTTACCAGAACGGAAGCCACAAAAATGCCAGGAATTTTGTCTGCATTATTTCTTCCTCCATCCCAGGCACCTAGAATTACATCTGTCCTATGGAATACTGCAGAAGCAGGTGATTTGAATATCAGTCTCACATACTTTGGGCCCAGCTCTGATTTTAGTTCAGCTGTGCCTTAAGAACTGATTCACTATGGCTATGATCAGTAGAAGTCTGAATCATATCTATGAGTTTTCCACAAGTTGCCAAGACCTCCCCAAGATTTCTGGTGCATAGATTCTAGTGAAATCAGTTACTTACTACCAGATGGAATCTGGTAGGAAATGTTTTTGCTTTTAAACTTTCTTTTGGATGGTCTGGAAAGCATTCAGCATGCTTCACAACAAAAAACTCATCAGTAAATCACATTAGTTGCCTTCCAAATACATTATCTAAACCTCAATTAAATTCCAAATAAACAGTCTAAATCCATATCCTGGTTTCAGGTACTATTCTGGAAGAAACTTGAGCTAAAACAGCACTCTATAGCTATGTATGTTAAATTTGAAAATAAGTGTTTGATAATTTAGTTATTCCGATTTTGTGTTACACTTTAACTTATTGTGATGCACTACCCTGGTAAAGGTGTGGATCTTAAAATTTTCATAAGATACAGAAAGAAATAAAAGGCATACTCTAATAAGTTACTCTAAAATAACAGTTTGCAAAATGAACCAACCTTTGCTCTCTTAGCAAAGAGAAATATATAACAGAAGAATGGTACAGAGAATTTAAAGTTTTTTCTCTGGTCATTTAGTAAATTGATATTATATAGCATGTGAATATAAATGAACAGTGTCTATTGGTTAAATGAGGACATGATTGATACTTCTAACATCATATTTAATATGTGTGTCCATTCCGGTTTCTCCATTACTTATTGACCTCAACCTTTTGCAGATACTGGGGAGTAGAAATAGCACCTAATTCTCAGGAAACAGTGTATATAATTAATTAGTCATTTGTTTGAGGTTGAGATATAGCTGCCTTTTTTTCACATCAATGTCAGAAATCTGTACTCATACTTTATGTGATCTAAATAAATCAGTCAAAATTAGAAATACAAGTATGTATTTCATTAGTATCTTCATGTTTAAAATATATCTATAAATAGTAGAAATTTTAGACAACAGGGGAATTGTACACTACCTGTGTGATCAAAATTTAGCTGAATGTAAAGATAATGCACTGTAAAGAAATTCAATGTGTTCGGATATAGATTAAAAAATAAAGGACTTTTATTGACAGAAGTTGAGTAGGCAGTGAGACCAATTAAAGAAGGTTTTAATGAGACTAATTGAGTTTATACCTTAACATAAGTGTGTATATCAAGAGAACGTTTCCCTCATTGGGACTGTAAATTAATTACTCCATAGTAATTATCACTGGAATGTTTCCAAATTAATATTTTTATTGTGAAAAATTAGATTTTCTACATTTTAGACATTTTATTTATTGTGGAGGTTGTGAACAGAAGAAAGACCAAGAGAGTAGAGGAAGGAGATCAGGAGATCGGGGGAGAGAGGAGGGGAGAGAAAAAGGGAAGTACTGTGGGATGAAAGGGAAGAAAGTATGTTACATGCATTTATGAATATGTTAAAATGAACCCCACTATTATGTATATATAATTTACAAATAAATACATTTTAGAATTCTTTATTAATACAAACTTGCAATCAATTCACTACATATGTTGTAATAAATTTTGAAAAAAAATATTCCTCAGTAAAAAGTTTGCTCAATTGGGGAGCTACGTGTTTTCAATTAAGCTCTTTGAAAACTTTAATAGTTTTAATTTTATTCTTCCTTTCTTTCCTTAATAAATGAAGTAATAAAATATGTTGAATAGTTACTTGTGTTCTGAGAGTGGATTTAAAAAATAAGAATTTGATAGAAAAAATATGCCCCCAAATTTTAGATCTAGGCCTACTAATATTGGCACCTAGAAATTATAGGAATGGCTTATCACAGCATGAACAAAATGTAAACTAAGAACATCTCTGCACTATTAAAATGTTAAATTCTCATTAGCAATTAAAACATGACAGCAACACCACATAAAGATTTGGGAAAAAAAATTATAAAATATTCTGCTGATCTAAAGGTCAACCAAATGACTCATCAAAGATCATGTTCCTTCCTGGATGAATAATAAAGGGGAATAGATTGATAAATCAAAAGATACTGTCAAATGTCACTATGTTAAGCATGTGCTTGGATCAGTAATGGTAAGAGTGCCGTAGTTTTAAGCCAGCTAAATAGTTGGCCCCATGGAGTGGCTTCAAGTACCTACCTATCTTTAAAACATACAAGGTTCTTTGGCACACTAGAAAATAAATGACCTCATTAATCCCTCCTGTAGTAAAATGTCTATACTTTACATGTGTTTATGTCTATTAAAATATACCACCTATGGAATGTCGTATGCCTGACACTCATCTGGTTGCTGGGAGTACAAAAAAAGTTTAACTAAAATAAAAATATGGAGGAATTGATATAAGAATTTAAGGTGTTTGATACTTAATCCAGAAAGCAGGGGAAAAAGAGAGATTTCAAAAGCAAAGAGTTACATATTTTGGAAATAGGTGACTATATTTATATTATACATTATTTATTGAAATATTTTTATCCATTATTAAATATTTTTATCCTTTTGTCACTTTAAATGGCATATTGGGCTGGACAATTTTCAATATTTTAAGGTGGCTCATTTTATTTGGACAAAATTATTAAATATCCAAAGCAGTGATTAGAAAGATAGATAGTCATTGTCTGATACCAAGAACTCATTTAGCTATATGGCTCCACTTGAAATATAAAGGGCATTTTTTGAATGGCAAGAATTATTCCACCCAATTAGTTCTTTTTCAAGTCTCTTGTTATTATAATTATTTAAAATACATAATGATTGGAAATGTCCAGGTAAATTTTAAAAAATTTTACTTTGTTATTAGAGTATTTTACTGAAGTCATTCTTAAGGATATCTTGGGTCAAAATTATCTCCTCTTCCCAGTTCTCTGCAAAAAAGCAAGTTAAATACATAAGTTATTAATAAATATCAAGCACCATGATTATGATATATACAGTTTTACTTCCCAAAAGGAAAATTCCTGCATTATTAATCATTAGGAATACATCAAAGGAAAACATGTGAATCACAAAGTTTTCAATCACTCTTGTAAATGTAAAGTTATATTGCAGTGAATAACTAGCAAAACCAGAGTTAAGCCAAACTTTAAGCACTGCATTACAATGTTCCTTTTATTCCATCTAAAAGAGGCAAAACAAAATCAAAGTAGAAACAAAGAAGTTTTTTGCTTGCTTTTATAAATTTTTAAAAATGGCATTATACAGGAACTAATGACAAGATCTTAGGCTTAGCATGTTGCAGAACAGTGACTACTTCTATACACAGCTGCTGTATTATGTATAAACGATATATATACTGTTTTCAGTGGGAAGAATAAAAAGGCAAAGAAAGGAAATTGATAGTGAAAAAAATTAAGGAAGAATTACAACACAAAATAAATTTCTGCATTTGTTTTTGACACTCTAAGGTAAGTGTCTGATAGCCAAAAATTACAGATCATAGTTTATGAATTAAAACATTAATACACACGGAACATCCAGTTAATTTTCTCTTTCCTCTCCCCACCCCTCCAAAAAAAACTCATTGAAATATAAGAGGGTAGAGATAATTGTGGAAAACTGTTTCTTTTTTTCTACATTTAAAATTAACATTGTTGAATGAAATAATTTCTTTTTCACCCCTTAGTTATTGAATTAATAACTTGAAAATATAGAATACTATCTTCACGAACCTTTCTTCCTATGCCTTTTTTACTGCTGAACAAATCTTTGAAATCAACAGAACGGTCAAATGCAGCATGCAGGATGAAATAAAATCTCATTGCATTAGTTTTCATTTGCTCAGATCCTAATCTGATGTGAGACATTCTTGTTGGAAGGTGTGGTACAAGCATAATTTTCTAAGTCAAAGGTCTTTGATGTGCAAACTAGGCATTAACTATGTATTTTGAGTTTTATTTGTCTGATTTTCAATTAGTCCCCCTATGAATACTAAGTGTTTATTATACATCCTGTGCTGTGTCAGGCACTGGGAATAAAACTACTGAGACCTAGTTACTGTCTTCAAGAATCAGTAAACTGGGCGCTGTGACATTTGCCTATAATCCCAGTGGCACAGGAGGCTAAGTCAGGAGGATCAAAAGTTCAAGATCAGCTGTAGCACTTTAGTGAGGCTCTAAGCAATTTAATGGGAATTTGTTTCAAAATAAATAAATAAATAAATAAAGAGGGATGGGAGTGAGACTCAGTGGTTAATCAAGCCTGCATTCAATCCCTGGTACAAAACAAAACACACACACCAAAGGAAAAAAAAAATCAAAAAATGAACCACTCGTTAAACAGATTGCTGCATCATCCCTCTCATCCACTGAGAGGAAACACTCTCTGTCCTACTGTTTGAGGTTGAATAAGTCACATTAGATCCCTTTAGTAATTAGAACCCTTTAATGGTTGCACTGAGTTGGCAGAACCCTCTTCCCCCTACACAAAGAGAACGAGGAGTCAGACAGAAGTGTCTGAGCATTAGAATTTTTACTTTTTTCATCCCTCTCTTCACATACTCTTCCAATATGGGACAAACAAAGTAAGAGGTGCAATTATGCTCCATATCTTCCCGAAGCACCAGAGCTGAATGGATAGTGAGACTTGATCTGAAATTATTACATGGACCCAGACTTATGAAAATTCAATTAACCTGTTGTTGTTGTTGTTGTTGTTTTACATGATATGGTGCAAAAGCAATCTGCACTCAGTGGACACCACACAGAGAATTCTAGAATTTCACCTCTCGGCTAGCAAAATACAGCAGAATGATCTTTCAGGATTCTGGATAACATCAACAAGCTGAAGCTTCCAGCAGCCGCAAGATCACAATGGAAACAATCAAGATCCTCTACAGTATGCTGTGTTGCTAAGCTATCATGCTTGGCAGTTGTATTAAATGTATTTTTGAATTACTCTTTCAATTTATTATGATTTTATCAGAACAAAATCTATCGTAAGTCTAGGGACATCTGAACTTGTCTTTCCCCCTGAAAGCATTTCTTTAATCAATTAAAAGTGTATAAATCCTCATATAATGGTCTGTTTCTGGGTACCTAGATTTACATCGGTGTTCACTTTGTATTTTCTGTAACATTTCTGTATTTTCTGTAGCATGTGTAAAGCATGTCTCCAACAATCCTTTGCAACATATTTATCATTAAAAATGTGAACTGTAACCTCAAAAATTGACGCAGTTTACATGTCCATATAAAATGAATATATATAAATTCTTTGCGGTTTATATATATACATACATATATATGTATATATATAAATTTATGAGGTCATGTGACTTAGTGATTTTAAAACACTGAATCCTCTTTCTGAAAGCAACAGACTTAGTGATTTTAAAACACTGAATCCTCTTTCTGAAAGCAACAGGAATTCAGATTTGTAAAAAAATTATGTCACCATTTATTGTTTATTTCATTATTATTATTATTATTATTTAGGAAACGACCTATTTGGAAAAGGACTAGTTAAAATGGTTTAGTGCCAGTAGATACTATTTTATAAAGCATAATTTTACCATAATTCAGTTCTACATCTGACTTGTTTTTCCAGTGTGTACAAATCGTGCTTACTTAAACAAAAAATGAGGGATATACTGAAAATGAGGTAATTTCTACTTTTAAGAAATGATGATGAAAAGAACACAGTGGTGTTTTTATTTTTCCTATATGCTGAGTATATAAAAATCACAGGAAGTTATGTTTACAGACTAACTTTTCTAATTCTTTCAGTTGCTGGCACTGTTCTGAGAACCCTATTTGGGTAGCTCCAGTTATGTCTCTGACAGAATATAGAATGACTCATTAGGTTTGCATATTATATTGGATGAAGAAGAAGCAGGTCATCATTTATAAGTCCACACTCAGGCTTCAAATGATGAGGCCTTGAGCAAACCACCAACATTCTAATATAAAACCCAAATAGTATAAGTACTTTTTAAAATTATATTTATTGGATTATAATATTGCATTTTGTGATTTTTCATATCCAGACAGAGAAACCACTGTGTTTGATGTTGGATACATGAAAGCAGAGCTCTGATGAAGGCTTGTGTGGTTGTGGTTTATTTGGGAATGAGATCCCAGTTGTAGCAGTAAGGAGAATAAAATGTAGGAGGGGCAGCAAGTGCGTGGATCCTTTATAGAGTTGTTCCTTTGCTTCGGCTTGTGGGAAGAATTCTTGGGAAACTCTGGAAAGTTTAAGTGGTATGTCAGGACAATTCATCCAGGCAAAGAAATAGAGCATTGATCCACTGCTCTTGTTTCCCCTTAATAAAAGTCCCCAGAATGTGATGTTCTAGTTGTCTATGCTGAGGTCTAAGGCCTTTTTCTGGCTGAGCTCTGTCGCTACAACACCAAAAGTGATTTAAGGCTGAAGGAATTAAGTAATATGTTGAATTGAAAAGAGACTTTTCCAAGATGTGCCTATGAAAGTGGTTATAGTACCTACGGCTAGAATACAGAGTGAAGTTGCAAGTAATCAATGTAGTACATAAGGAATTTGACCACATGGTAAATGAGAAACACATTTTATTGTGATACATCACAGATATATCATAATTTATTTGTTACTATGAATAGTCTCACCCTTCTTTTGTAATATGTTGCTTCTATTTCGGTCTGATAGATGTGTGACAATACATAATTTTGAAAATTTGCCCAAGGTTTCAAATTTCAAGCTTTTATAATTCCCAATAAGCTACTTTTATTCATATTCCCCTAGATGAATATGAATAAAAGTAGCTGAAGAAAGATGGATCACAAGTTGGATGTTAAGAAAACCGGACCCTTATAAAATTTTTCTATTTCTTTTTTAATTTCGTAGTCGAGAAAATGAAGACAAATATGTCAAAAAGCAAGGCCAAAGGACCTCTTGCTTGGGGATACAAACAGAAAATTATATAATCATACAGGCTCATCAAAGGATGATATTTTAGGTGGCTTTTTAAGTTGGGTTTGAGTGTTCTCAATTCAGACACTGACTTCCATAGGGATGTCTGAAGAGACTAGAATGGTGGATATATAATCTTGTGAAGCCTTTGGGTTTGAATGTGAAGAACACTGAATGTTGGCTCCAATAAAAGCTGTGTCTAGTTGGCAATAGCTCAGCACATCAGCATATTAATAGAACTTAGGGAAGAAGCATTAAAATATTAAATCACATGATAATCTAAAATGTATAGTCCCTAAGGACTTACAAAAAGATGTTTACATTTAAGTTTCCAAAATAGAAAAGAAAATGATCTTAAGGGGATTAACTCAAACTGAATTCATATTAACTAAAACTAAAGCCATGAGACCTTTTGGGAAAGGGCTTTGTATTAGGTTCTACAGAAACCGAAATAAATTAAGATTTGGAAGATGCCAAGAATGAATTTTAAAATTAAAAAAATGAAATTCAGTGCAATGAATTTAAAAATTTAAGACTTTAGTATTGATGAGTGTAAATACATCATAAACTTGATATATTTTTAAATGTCATCTTTATCAATGTGAAACCTCACTAAACCCATACACTCTAAATTCAGAAAAGCAAATTGAAGCAGAAAAGTAAGAAGACAGAGAACAAAATATTACAAATAAAATCAGTGTTCGAGAAATAAATACATGTAACATTCTGCTTGTAAAAACACGATTTATAGATTTATGATATTTAACAAGATAATAAATGCTTTTCATATGAGTAACAGGGTCAATTTAAAGATAAAATTAAATTGCAGAAAATATTCTAGATTAGCATGGCCCCTACAGGTGTTTTTTTTTTATTATTTAGTATTCTATAACATACATGTTATTACAAAAGATGTAAAAATGATAAAACGAAAAAAAAAGAGAACAAACTTACAAGTAATTTTCAAATAGAAAAAAAAAAGTCTTACTTCCCTAACAATCATTCCTTATTTGATTGCAAAACTGACCATGACTGTGATTATTTTTCATGTAAACTCTTGCACAATCAGTGTGTTTCTGTTACATAATTATATTTTCTACTAAAGTGGATAATTAGAAAGTTATAGCTATGAAGATATTCAAGAGCACTGTTCCTGTAAAATGATGTTTTTAGAAAAGGGTTTTTATAAAAAATGATACAAATGATAAAAAATTATATTTTGCTCTGCATTGGTATTTATCAAATGAGAAATTATATTGAATTAAATTAAAAAAAAACTTTTTGCTTTTTTTAATGAAAGATTTACAGTGTAAAAAATATTACACCAAAAGCCTTGCATATATCCATTATGATAATATAACTATCAATGTTTGGTTTATCCAATGAGATTAAAATACAAGGGTGTAGTGTATAAAAACCATGCAATAGACAGGAGCAAAGGGTCTACTAGTAAAGTAGCAAAAAAATACATTGCTTTCTTATTACTCATAAGCCACCTACATTTTTCTTTTTAAAGGTCAATCAATGACAGCATGAACTTTTTCTTTTCCGATACTGAAAAGCAGCAATAAATTGCTTTCACTATACATGGGAGAACTGTATACTCTTGGATAAGTTTTAATTCCAAAAATCACAGTAAAATGACCTTCTTTATAATATCACTATTGTTTGTCTAGTTTTAAAGAGAGTCTCTGTGACAGTACTCTTAAGTTTTCACAATTCTGTTACTGCTCAAGTTGTCAGTCGCAGAGAAAATTTACATTCAATCAGATATTTTTTCAAGAATTTTGATTTAAAAGTTCAATTACAATTTGAAATGACAGAGGGTTTCATAAAATCTAGGTCATGTCATATAGCTATTTTTTAATTAAGATAAGTAAACACTTGGGGAAATTGAGTACAGTAAATAGATACCTAATACATTTAATCTTTACCAAATAGAGTTTAGAATATTGTCTTTCCAATGTGCAGAATCATTCTTCTTATTCCTTGGTCACATCACATATCCTTTCAAATAGCATGTGGTGAATGCAATTTGTAAGATTGATAACTGTCCAATCAGCACTATCTAGAAACACATTGCAAAGGAAATTGCACACTACCTAGGTCAGAGTTGATAAAGAGTTTACAAAGGTAATTTAGCTTATTTATTGGCAGATGTATTGTCCTTAAAGGACAAGAATGTGAGCTGAAATCCTAACTAATCCTGTGTGAGTTAATTTCCCTTCAGGTGAAATTGCTTTTGGGTGATTTTGATCAGGTCCTTTAAAAGTTAACCTCAGTGATTGTTAGATATTTATTGTGTATCAAAATTGCTTAAAAAACTTTTGGTTATAAAGCAGATCCCTGAGTTCCAAGACTGAATGAATAAATCTAAAACACTAGATGAAACCAACATAAGTTTTGGGGCAAAGATGGCCCTTCTGATACTTCTTGCACAAAAATTCAAACATTGCTGATTAAAAATGATAATATGGTCAAGATTATATTTCATCTATTTATTCATATTCTTTTAAATGCTCTGAAGACAAATGAAGTAAGATATTTTTTTCTCAATTCTGTTTTATAAGCATACTTTTCAACTTACTAGAAAAAGTGGCTTTATGTTTAATACCAAATTCAGTAAGATTCTTGTTATGAGAAGAATTTCATCTACCAGCAGGGCACCTCAATTTGTCCTCTAAGAAGTGTAACCTTCTTAACGTTTAGGAAGTTTATCATATGCAAAATCTAGAGACCACTCTCAGGTTTTTGAATCTTGGGTAAGAATGAAGAATTAGAAAGAAATCAGATTTGTATGCTTTTATGATTATGACTAGATAAGAGATAAAATATTAAGTTGTAAAGATGATTATTAATGAATCTGGTGACTACTTTCAAATCATCATTATTTTAAAATCATCAAGCATAAAAAAATGGACAATTAAATGTTTAAACATAAATAATACAATGATTTAAATTATTTAGTTAGAAGAGAAATAGACCATGACCACCTTATACAGTTTTGACATTCTGTGAT